AGCGGCAGGTCCCTTAGACCACCTTACAGATAATGGGTATGGAGATTACCCCCAGAACAGGGGTATGGCTAGATTCCAGACTGAAGTTTCGGACCCACGTCCAAAAAACTGCGACGCGTGCCAGCAACGCAATGATGGCTCTGGGAAGACTGATGCCCAACATTGGTGGCCCGAGGGCCAGCAAGAAGAGATTGCTGCGTTCAGTGGGAAGATCAATCTTATTATACGCTGCTCCAGTATGGGACTCCTCAATGCTAATTAACAACAATCGTGTTATATGCGAGAGAGTTCAAAGACGGGCTGCAATTTGAATCAATTGCTGCTATCGTACTGTTTCTACAGACGCTTTGCTGGTAATCGCGGAGGTACGTACTACTTATAAAGATTCTGGTGGAGGAAGCAGTTGTGGTTTCAAAGGCAAACCCCTAAGAGAAATCAAACGCGCGCAAAGCAGCCCTAGCAAGTCTGATGGCAGAATGGCAGAATAGATGGGAAAGAGAAGATGGACCGCCCACGCCAAGCTGATCCCGGATATAGAGGCATGGATAGACAGAGACCAAGGAGAAACAGACCTGACCTAGTTCCTGTCTGATGATGAGTGCTCTTACTGCGGAGAGCGTGATACCGCGAAACCCTTCCACCGGAAAACACCATACGTGAAATGGTAAATAGCCCAGCGAAATGGGATCAAATTTGTACCATGGTGAAATCTATCTTGAAGATTAAAGGCGAAGAAGAAAACAGTTTGCAGGAGGCTCCAGAATAGAAGTAGAAGTACCACATCCTTTCCCCCCAAAGTAATGCGCGAGCGGTTCCAGGGGGAGCAGTAGGGGAAGGGTTTTAGTGGGTGAGAGTCCCACACTCCCTAGGGCACCCGGACATCAATGCCCTAGACGTGCATAATGCAGACTGGTCTGAAACTGCCAACAACTCCTAAAGCAACTAGCGTCTTGCAATAGAGTCACCCTATCATGGGTACCAGGACACCAGGGAGTCGATGGGAATGAAATTGCTGCAAGACCATTCCTTGAACCAGAACCTTTCTTTGATATTACATATTACGAAAAAGGGGAAGTCCAGAATTGGGGAAAAGCTCCACTAGAAGCCTTCGGCTGGAACACGTTTCCAGGACTTTGTCAATAAAGGCAAATGAAATGATTGAACTTAGTAAAGCGGACTTCTTCAAAGGGGAGCTACTATTCAAGAAGAAAAAACAATTCTTCTCATATAGAAGCAGGCAGCAGGTTACTTTCTTTCTGTCACTACTAGAGGAATGGTTGAAATAATTGAATAGGGAAATCAACATATTTTTTTTTTTTAAAAGATCCAAATTCCTAATACCTTGTAAGAAATCAAAATAATTGGTTTTGTCCTTGATTTTTGCAAAACTGCTAAATAAACTCCTTAATAATACACACACCGGCAAAATTAGGGGAGCGGACAAAATTTACACTAAGTTTGACATCAATTTTCTCTTAACCCTCCGCTTGATTTCGATGAATTTTTCTCAGATCATAGCTCGATTCTTCAGGAATACATCTGAACCATTATTAAATGATACGTCTTCATCATATACAGGGATGGAAAGAAAGTCAGTCATTTTTAGAGTTTTTTGAGACACCCTGTGGAGTGAACCACTGAAAATTCAGGACAGTTTTCAACACCAACATTCAGGACAGTTTTCAACATCAAATTGTAGCCAAACATTTTCATTTTTTATTCAGTATTATTAAAAATAAGGTCTGTTGAGGGGTAAATTGAAAAATTTCTAAGCCTTGGTTAGGAGGGAGAGTTTGGAGAGTTTAGTTTAGATAAATAACATTCCACCAAATGGAAATCATGAAAGGATCCCCCTGTATATTTGTGAGCATTCTTTCCACAATAAATTGATCGGTAAGGTAACACGACTTGAAGTTGGAAAACGACACATTTTCATATCCAATTCGTATGTCGACGTGGAGGAAATTAGGGTCAATATCCACCTTTTCTTCGAAACTCTGTATTTTCAATAATATTGAAAATATCAATATCAATAATATTGAAAATGTTCGGAAAAGATCAGGCTACAATTTAGTGTTGAAAACTGTTCTGAATTTTCAATGGTTCACTCCACAGGGTGCCTCAAAAAACGCTGAAAATTAAAGACTTTCTTTCCATCCCTGTATATGATATAAAGACGATTTCATTTAATAACGGTGATAAGTCAGATGTATTCCTGAATCCGACAATCTGTAAAAAATTCATCGAAGTCGAGCGGGGGGTTTAAGAGAAAATTGATGTCAAACTTAGTGTAAATTTTGTCCGTTATTATGTATACAGGGTGTCCCACGAAGATTCACCCAGGTGATAATTTCGGAATACGTCATTGTATGTATGGGATGACACATGTAGAAGCGGCACAAATGGCTACCCAGATTCTCAAAATTTCAATTATATCTTGGATGAGGCGTTTTGAAGCTACCTAGGTAAAACATTGTGGGACACCCTGTATATTAACTATTCACTAACTGTTTCTGCAAAAATGTAATTTGTCACCGTCAATCTTGTTACTAAAAGAATGAAAATAAATTCCAGAAAAATATATACTTATGTTCATTGAAAATGAACTTAAAAATTGAGAAAAAAAATCTTAAATTATCTGTTCACTGGGTTGAGATAACTTACATGATACAACTAATCAAATCCCGTTAATTAGGAAGGTTTCACGAAGAAAAAATTATTAATGGATTGATAAAACTAAACTTAAATCGGCTTTGCAATGGGTCAAGGAATCCAAATTAAATGATACCTTTCAATCACGCACGGATTAAGTGCACTCATTGCCAAATTTAATTTTGGAAATTTGTACATATCAAAGTTTATAATAACAACTTTGCTGCAAGAGAACAAACAATTACATCACATATCGCGTCCATTTTCTTTTTAATACTGTAAAATGGGTCAAAACCTTGTCTAAGGTCAAAACACTATATACAGAAACAAGCAAAGTGAATAAACCCTAAGACCCACCCTTTCTATCTGCGTGACTATATTACATCCTAAGCACTTTCTTCTGCGGTTCTACTGCATATAGCAATTCATTGGAATGGACTAATGGAATAGTAGGTACAATTCAAATTGCAATTCGAATAAAAATGAGAATTCGTGGAAAGCAAATATAACCTCCTGTGCAATTTATCGCAGGATAAATCTGCGTTCGATATGTGTGTGAGGGGCACATCCCCCTAACAACATTTTGGATTTGGGGCTCGATCGTGCCAGTCACAACACAACCAACAGGAAATATTCAGGAATTTAATTTTCAACCGATTTTGTACTTTATATAGGACGGAAAATTTATTTTATTTTTATGGATAGTTAGCTAATTTTCCTTAATTTCGCCACCTTGCGTTTCTAACATCGTCGGTATCTGAGGCATAAAGAACATCTTTAAATAATGTGAATCATCACGAAATGTACCTTTTCCATTTTATAAATAATTTGTTCAGAAAGCAATATTTCCAATAAGTACCCATTAAATCCTAAAGCGCTTATCAATCACAAGGCAGCAATAATTTATTAATAAGCAGATATTAAGAAAATTTGTCTAAAAATTAATAAAATTCACACAGGATCGAAGATATTGAGTTTAATTAATTCGCCCGAATAATCAACCTAAAGATAAGTCATACATAAGTCTGAAAGTAAATCTTACATTAAGTACCATGAAAAAACCACTGCCGTAGACTTTACATATAGGAGATTAGTATAATAATTTTTTTTTAAATAGATATGGTTAGGTTACGCTTGATTTGAAGTTTTTTAAGTAAGCTAGTTGAATAGATAGCTATTTTAATGCTCACAACCTGAGTCAGTCCATTTACATTCTAGAGTAGAAGCATCAAAATTTCATCCTAGCTCACCCAACATATTATTATAATAAGATGACAAATTTATATTTAAAAAAAAGTACTCTTTATTTCACGAGGGTTTGTACTTTTGACATATTTGCCTTCCTTTTTTAACAAATAAAATTTGACTGATTGATTTGTTTCAGTCAAATTTTATTTGTTAAAAAAGGAAGGCAAATATGTCAAAAGTATAAACCCTCGGGAAACAAACATTACCTACGACGATAGTCGATATGTCAGCTTGAGGGTTAATTTAAAAATTTGTAGCTAAGCGCATGCTTTTGCGATCCTCCTTTTTTAACAAATTTTGAAACAAAACTTAAAGTAGAAAATGTGGTATCATCCTGTTTAATTAAAGTACCTACCTTAATTAAAGGGGTGTTAGCCCGTACTTGCTACGTTAGCATACTTGAGCTTCAACGCATTTGAAAATGTGAAAATTATATCTGTAAATAGTTATTAACGGTATAAGGCCAATAACAGCAAATAACGGCCGGGCTGAAGTTTGCAATCCAAGACGATAGCCCAGGATCATAATCAGCCAAGTCTGTTATTTGCAGTTATCGGCCGTGTTTTATTCTAGATTTTTCGTCATACAGCAGATTTTGCAAAACAATCATAATGCTTTTCCAGAATAAATTGATTTGCTTATTGACGACTAATTCAACGCAACCAAGATGAAAAAGTTCAAAGTTAGAGGTTGATTTCAAGAGAAAACAAAAAGTGATATTTGGGCATGTTAAAAGATTCAGATAATGACGAATGTAAGCGAAATAGTCACAAATATACAGGGTGTTGCATTTAAAATTGAGTGGAGATCATTTACAGTTAAACCGGAAGTGAAGCGAAGTGTCAAAAAATACATATTAACGACATACCTATATAGTATTACCACATAGGTAGTACAGAGAAAAAAAGTTGAGTAATGAGAAACTGATAAAGTTGAGCATGATTATTCAGAAATGCCCTGTATAAGACTCACTGTAAATTTTAATAAAAACATTTGAAAAGTTTATTAAACTCAAAAATTTTAAGTTCAAAGTCTTTGTAAAGCTACTGATAGTGATAAACAATGACCAAAGTACAAACTAAAGAAATAAAACACTCATCTAAATCATTCAATAGTGTTAATTTTATTATATTAATTAAAATTGTTTAAAGGCATTGATACAATGATACCGTTTTGACGCACATAAATGCAAAGTACATCCTGAAAGATAACAAAAAAATATACATGTATATAACAAATATAGCAATAATTAAAATAAATTGCAATATAAAAAAAAAAAAGATAAAATTTGACAAAAATAGACACCGAGTAAGATAAAACAGGTTGTTTGTGCAGCGAGAGTTCATAAAAACGTTTCACTTTAAGACAATAATATGTCGATTATCTTGCAAACAATAATTAATTATGACACAGAAAATGATAACGTTAATTAACTAAATCTAAGACATAAACTAAAGGACGGACTACCTACAATTAATATCTACAAAAATAATTATACAAAAAAAATCCAAATTACCATTCAGTGGATGTAAATCAAACTACATCCATTAACCAATTTTGTCTTTATCTCTCTCCTAAAAAAATCCTTTATTAGCGCACAGGGCTGGTCATAGGTCTAGGGAACTGATCCTGTCTCCTCCTCATAAACCCCAACATATTTTTGAAGGGTAATTGCATGTGATAGTAAGCACAATAAGGCAAAGGATCCCATAAAGTAAACAAAGCCTCACGTTTATCCAGAACAGTCCCTATTAGCTTAGTAACAGATTCCAAAGAAGGATTTCTTAAAGTTGTCAAAACTGTATCGGACATTTTGTAGGTACCACAACCATTTACCAACGGTCCAGAATCTTGTCTTTTGAAGTGACGACAAGGTCGCCATACCAGTCGAGGATGGACGTTGGTATAGCAAATGTACGGTAATGACACCCCAACTCTGCTGCTTAAAGGTTTTATGGTGTTGGTGTCCTTGGACACGACAAATCTGAAGCTCACATGTCCAGTTATTGGTCTTAGTAGATGTAATTTGCTGAAGAAATTTGTTAGCCATTGATTGATTTCGTTATGATCCAGTGGCATCAAACCATTACTTTCATCAAGTTTGCAAGTAACATTTGCTATTACCTGAGACTCTTTAACTGTAGTGCAAGTTAAATAATGATCGCCTTCTAAATCTTGCACTACAACCCATGGTCTTTGCTGACTTATATCACTAGGCAACTTCAAGTCATTCCTGGACAACGGTAAGATAACTTTAGCCCTATCTCTCAGCCCACTAGGGCCTGCTGTTGACATTACATAATTTCCTATCCTTATGGTACCAGTATCATACAATCTATAAACATCTTCTTTTGAAGTTACAACATAATAATTTGGAGTACTGATGTTATATTTTTCACATCTTTTCAAAACTTCCAATGTATCATCTAGGACCCAAACTTCTTTTATACCAGGACAAAAGCAAGTGCATCCTAAAAGTTCTAAATGTGGCTTGGCAACAGCATCATAATAAGCAGAAGTAGTGGCGCTTACCGGAATATAATAAACGGCATCTTCTTTATCAACAATTTCACAAAGGGCTCTCACGTAGTTTTGAAGTTGATCACTTGTAGGTTTTGGTACTGTGTAAAATTTACTGACAGCTGTTGAGTAACGAGCTAAAGCAAATACTCCTTGCACTTCACAGACAACCACTCTGGCACCTGCAGAGTAAAAGTTTCTGGCTAAATGTAAGGCTTGAATGGTACTGCCCCCGCTAATAAGAACTGTCCTCTTTTTCTGTTTCCCAGGCATTTTCGTGGACAAAAGCATGGTTAAAGTGAATCTCAAAATATTCCACGGCAATTGCATCAGTTGTGTGAAAAACCAGAACCACATAGAGATCCATAACATTGGCAAAGCAAGTATGAGTTGCTTCCATGTTTTGGGCAAAATTCCCACAATAACTGCTTTTACTATTCTGAAAAGAAACATCGGGTACCATCCAATTATTGAAGTTAAAGATGAATAGGTTTCTTCTTCTTGAGGTAAATTTTGCGGCACTGGACTTTGGCTTCTGAAATCTCTCGCATCAGATCTGATCACAAAAGGCTCTCGTATAACGCTTCCTAGTGAGGAAGTTCTTCGGATTCGTCTTTTTCTCCAAGTACCATCTGGAGATGTAGTCCCGGGAGAAAGGCAAAGTGGAGAATTGGGACTTGGCAGTCCTGAACCACCCGAACTACTCCCAGCATGAATACTTTCATTGCTGGGCCACGACACTCGCGACAAACTGTCAGAATTGCACGTAGGCATTTCTTCTTACTCGCGCTTAAATCTCAAAAGGCATACACGACGAGTTAATTGAAACGAAGTAAACGAATAATCAAGTGCACAGCGATCTTATAGACGGCACTTTTGAACTATGACCGGTACTGTTGAACGGAGCGTGGTCCCCACTCCTACAGACAGACACTTTATTGTGGTAGTCTCCGATATTATTTATAAACAAGTATAAGATAAGGGTGCCTAATTAGCGCCATCCGATCTAGACGCCGAGAGATTAATTGGACAAAGGTGAAGTGCTGTGTCGACGCAAATGTAAGATTTATTAATCTTGTGTCTGGTATTATTTAACCGATATTGATCTTTGGAATTTAGGTAATGAGAATTTTAAGCGTGGCATCCGACATATGATGCAATAATTTATTCAACGTTTTCTCGGGTATGTCTCATCTGAAAAAAAGTTTAATATCGTAACGTAAAGGAACCTATGAGAGACTTTGCTATGAGGCCCTTATAACAGATTTTACATGCTAAAATTGGAGATGCTCAGGGACAGATAACTCTGTTTTTATATCTGCAAAATGCATTTTTTTGCGTTCTACAGATATCTAAGAATACTCACCATTTCCTAATGCGCCTCAAAATTCATGAGTACCTTCAAGGTCGGATTATCAATCAAGGAATCCTGCAGAGTTTGCTGACTCTGGGCTAACTATCTAATTAAGTCAAAAAGTGTTTATCCCAAGCTTTTTAACCCAGGCGAATTTGCTTTTTTGCTAAAAATTTTTTCACACCAATTTTTTTATAAAGGGTGTTCGAAGAACAGCTGTACGGTTATCAAATTTATTTTTTATAATGGTACCCCCTGTATATTATGACATTTCTGGATTTTGCGGAAAATTCTACACCATTTCAACCTCAATTTCGGAAAAGGTAACTTTTATTTAGGAAAATGTAAAGTCATTTTCGGAAAAAGTCAAATCAATTTCAGAAAAAGTAAAGTTAATTTCGGAAAAAGTAAATTCAAATTTGGAAAAAGTAAATTCAAATTCGGAAAAAGTGAATTCAAATTCGGAAAAAATACATTCAATTACAGAGAAAGTAATGTTATTTTTTATAGAATAATTTGAATTGACTGAGTCATTTATCTATTTAGAAAATCAAAAAATTTGTCCATATTTCTCAAAAGGGACCCGATTTTTAAACAATAAAAGAAAGAAAAAAATTACCAAGTCTACATACAGATTGTTTATTATTTTATTCATTCACTTAATAGTGACATGTGTTTCGCTCATATGAGCATCATCAGACCTAAAAAATAACAATATATGTAGAACCTAATTAAAGTACACTGATTGGAATCGAACCCGTCAGGGTACGGGTTCGACTGGAGGTTTATAGTCACTGCTAAATTTACTTTTTATCAATTCGAATTATTGTAAAAAATAACATTACTTTCTCCGTAATTGAATATACTTTTTCCGAAATTAACTTTACTTTTTCTGAAATTGTTTTGACTTTTTCCGAAAATGACTTTATATTTGACCGGAAATTAAATTTAACCGGAATTTTTAATCATGGATTATTTTCAAAGTTGGTGTCAAATGCTGAAAAAGTAAGACAAAAATGTATGATCCGTTTTGTTGTAAAATCAACAGTTTAGGTTTTACAGTCTGTCAAAGCTGCAAAAGAGTCACTATTAATGTCAATATTTCCGAAACAAAGTTGAAGATAAGTATAGGTCATTGTACAGGGTGATCCAGTATAAAGTGAACACCTCCTACCTTTCTGCTAAAAAAAATAATTTTTGAAAAAATCAAGATAGCCATTTGGTGTATTTTTTTTCTAGGAATTTGAAACCGTTTTTCGTTGAAGCGCTGTGTTTAAAAAAGTAAGTTTTTTAAATGGAATAACCTATATTTAAATCAATTTTTTAAACGGCCCTATTTTTCTTATTTCAAATATATATTTTGTTTATCTTTATTTTAGTAATTGCCGAAAAGGTATCAAGGTAAATGTAAATAATTTTTTTCTGCGATTGACAAGAAATGTCAGCATTTTTGACCGGTTGACAGGTCGCAAAACTCAATATTCTGGTATTTCAATTATGTTTCAATAGTTGCTAAGGAATCAATGAATAACTGAATAATTGTAACTAAAAGACAAACATTTAACAGGTATTTAACCGATCGCAGAAAAAATAGTATGTGTATTTCGGTGGAAAAGCACATTCTCGGCCTTCGGTGTTTGCCGGCCTCGGCTACGCCTCGCCCGTCAACTTACACCCTCGGCCGAGAATGTGTCACTTTTCCACCTAAATACACAATATACTATATTTTGAAACGTCATATAACAGTAATTTTTGTGATTATTTTGACAAGGTATAAGTGTCACTTCAATGACTTTCAGCTTGAGCGGCGTATAAGTGTTATACTCCGCCGGAGTACAACACTTATACGCCGTTATACATGTTTTTTCCATAGTGATTTAAGGTAGTTCACCTGTACATACAGGTATAGGTGCTTACAAAGGTGATCCTTCTAAATATGAATGCACTGAGTGAGTCAGTGAGTGAGTGAGTGAGGGAGAGCGAGCGAGGGAGGGAGTGAGTGAGTGAGTGAGTGAGTGAGTGAGTGAGTGAGTGAGTGAGTGAGTGAGTGAGTGAGTGTGTGAGTGAGTGAGTGAGTGAGTGAGTGAGTGTGTGGGAGAGAGAGAGTGTGTGTGAGAGAGAGAGAGATTCGTGTCGTGACGCGACCTTGAAAAATCACTCTCATGCGGCCAAAGAAGTATTCACTTCAAACAAGTATTCATCATGCACTACAGTGACTATTAAACCACAGTGGCGAAAATTGCCGTCTTATTTTTGATTGGTTCTTAAAATCTTATATACAGGGTGTTCCACGACGTTCCACCCAGGTGATTTCTTTTGAACGCGTCACCCGATTTCAACACTTTTGCTTCAGTTCCGGTCAAGTGATGGCAACTTAAGAATCTTCAAATGTAACTTATGGTATATTGTCAATTCATAAATGTTTACAGGCCCACAGACTATAGAAATAAAGTGAATTTGGCGCTCGTACTACAGAAAATTAACTAACTCTGCTGACGGTAGCAATAATTTTACACATTTTCTTAGGACTGTTTGGGTACTAACGATCGGTTCTTGATAACGTAGGGCTTTCCCTAAAAACGGCCATTCCAAGGGAATGTTATATGATGGCCCTCCAGGGCCCTCCATTCACTGCAATCTAGTTTTGGTAAACCCTATTTAATCATCACCTACATAAGTTGAGGTGTAACAATAGATGTATTAACTACTAGTGGTGAAATCTTTCCTTCCTCCCATAATCTCTTTTCAGGATAAACCCTTAGCCGACGCAGCCAAGTGTAGTTAAAGTGGTGGCACCGCGGCACCGCTGACCACGAACAACCTAAGCGTGACACATTGGTGCCCGGCGCCTCCACCATGGAGTGCGTCATAAATAAACGCCCGGCGCTCCCCGATCGCTCAGATACGGAAGCCCTGTCGTGCAATCTGTCTTTCGAGTTCTTAGTTCATAGTTCTGACGTCATAACTCGGAATTTCTGATTTACTACGTCATAACTCGGAAATACTTATTTTATTATTAGTTTGGTGAAAATTAGTGATGAGCGAAACTGGTCTTGCTCTTGCAGAAAAAGCAAGACCAAGACCAAGACCACCTATTAGACTGCAAGACTAAGACCAAGACCGAGCAGTGCAAGACTTACGCAAGACCAAGACTTAGCATTGCAAGACTTAAGGCCGTTTTACAGCTTGCAAGAAAACTTCAATGCCATTTTTTGCATGCAAAAAAATTGCATTCAAGATTTCTTGCACGTCGTTTTACACTTGCAATTTGACTTGTTTCTTTCTCTAACCTTAACCATACTTTTTTGTTTTTAATGTTGTGAGTGTGATTATAAGTCGATATAAAAAGAAGAAAGCAATAGCAGCAACTTTAAGCATCATAAATTCCCCAGCTTGCACGAAAACTTTCAAGAAAAATGGCACCAAACCGATTGCATGCAATGCCATTCAAGTTTCAAGAATCTTGCAGAAACCAATCAGCTGACTCACTTCTGCACATGCCCTAGTTCAAGTTTCTTGCATATTGCAGATAGAATTGCAAGTTGTAAAACGGCCTATACGCAAGACCAAGACCGAGCATGCATGTGAGTCTTGCGGTCTTGCGTTTTTGTTCCATTTTTTTTCTGAAGAGTAGTAAAATTCAGTATGTATTTGATTTAGTTGTTCGTAGTTGAATATATCATATTTAACTATTATCATAGGCTCTGTTACTGGTATTGGGGCCTACCCTATCCTATGACTTTGGAGAATATAATATAAAGAATTCCCTCCCACTAAGACAATTATCAAACATATCTAAGTTTCCAATGTAAATCGAATTGGTGTTTAAAAATAAGAGTTTACTTGTTCATAATAAACTTACTATCTTTTGCACTATTTTTGCTTTTTGAATGTATAAAGTACTCCTTTACTACCGCAAGCGAATGTGTGATGAAAAGTACAGATACCGCACGACACGCGAGTAGGTGAAATTGTTATAAAAATTTTTATTTGCTGAGAAATGTAGAAAATCAGAAAAAATGATGTGCACTTCTTCATTGAGCAATAATAATTTTGATTTATTTCTAATCCCAGCCAAGGTAACGGGCCCCCAGTAACTTAGATATAAATTTATGAAATTACATATAGTGAAATATTTCTAAAAAAATGTCATTATCAAATGGTATCATGGTTGCTCTATCACAAACATATTTTTGATATTTTCACCCCGATACACTCGCACAAAAAAGCTTTATACAAGGCAAGAGCATATTATCTAATTAAAGAATTGAATGTTGATGGTCTTAAATGAGACGGCTTGGTAAAAATTGGTGGATCAATTATTTTAAAGATCTGAGAGATAGAAGACACAGGCCTCTAAAATGATGGTTACTGCTTCATGTAGAATGTTTAAGATTTTGCTACGGTTTTGTCTCGGGTTTTGTTAAAAATCACGTCGCAAATGCAAATGAAAACAATCGAACCGGACACCTAATTTTTAGGCTACCATTCACAATTCTCAACGATAACATCGATATCGGACTTCTATACCATTTCCACTATTATTTCATTCTAGT